TTCATGTCAAACAACGAAAAGAGCTTTGAGCGAGTAGTCTCTAAGCCAAACTAGGATTTTGCACAAGATGGTCTAAAACTAAGTGGGAGTTTTGAGTTGGCTATCCTCCAAAGTGAACCGAGGTTTTATACGGGCAGACCACAAACCCAATCGGGATGATATCGAACCTACTGAGTTTTTACACATATTGAACTCAAAAACTGAGTGAGATTTTATACCAGACTAATATTGAACCAATATAACTTTTAACTGGGATGAGCTCAAGAATCGTTGTGAATATTTTTCTGTAGTTATTTTTCGCGAACCCAAGAGAGGGTTTTTCTTCAACGGATGGGATCACGAACCAAACAGAGACTTATATTAATCCCCCCAAAGAGCTTTTATACAGGTTTTGGATACAAATCAAAATAATGAAAAAATGATTTACTCTAGAGGAATAAGAACTCTTGGCAAATTTACAATAAAGCCTTCACCCAAAACAATTTTCTCACTAAACTCAAGAGCACTCTCAAAGCATTATGACTAAAATGTGAGAGAGAAAAAACGATTTAGAGAGATTGGGAGAAAGAGGAAACATGAGATATTTACGTTTTTTTTTTATGTTTTGAAATGAAGAGGGGACCCTCTATTTATAGGCCAAAAAATTATTAATTTTAGAAAACAACTTTTGGGAAAAATAAATGACCTAATTTATTAGCTAATCGATTAGGTACTTACAATAATCAATTATTGTCGACTAAATTGGAAGGTGTTGGTAGAGTCGTTATCATTCATTAAGATACTGTCATAATTGATTACGAACTTGATTCACTATCATCTAATCGATTAGGTATTTGCTCAAATCTATTAGATAGTTCAAAAAACTTGCCTTAATCAATTTGACAGTTTCCAAATCAATTGGGTAGGATCCAAAAATAGTTTTGGTGATTTTTTTTGAAAAAGAGAGGCTTCAAAAATACTTGTAAGCATGAGTGTGATTTAACCACATTACTTACAAAAACACCCTTATGTTTTTACAATACATTAATCACTCAGACGGGTATGATTAGGCGAGCTTTCACACCTCATCTCTTTCATACTTTGAAACTTCAAGGCCGTTTGTCGGATATACCAATCATATAAGCACTTCACTTAAATCTTCTTGTGAATGAGGCTTGAAATATCTTCAAGTCAGTCAACATCATCAGAGAGTCTTAAAGATATCACTAGTGATCACAACCCCTAATTCTTTAGGTTGATTCAGAAGAATAACTTCATCAACCACTTTGTGCATCTTTGACCGCTTGTGCTAGTTGCCTTTACTCTACCAAAATCACGTTAAGTGTTGTTACTATTACAAGGGTTATCATCACCAAAACTATGACAATATCATGGCTAAACATATCTTGCTTATCAATAAACTTTGATGACTTTTTAATTATACCTACAAGCATATAGTTCCACACCCCCTAAGAGATAATCCTTCCCTTCATGGCCCTTTAGTTCGGAGCCATCCAAACGTGGGGATAGGTTCCAAAAAGGTTAGACTCGATACCACTTATCCTAGACTCCAAACCAGTATTCACATCTATTGGATACTCTGAACCCATAAGAAGGATTGTTGAATGAGAATTTGTTCACCTTTCAAGGGAGTCTGTTTAAGTTTCTATGATGTGTTAAAAGTGGCAATGAAGGTATACATGTATGTTGACGAAAGAGCTTCGACTCGAGGGGGAGAAAATAAGTGGATGGACTAACACTTGAGTGAATTCATACTTAAAGAGAATATTATTGTGGTATAAGTGTGATTTATAAGTCTCACATTACTTAGAAAAACAAAAGTTGAACATTTTATAAGTGAGATGAGTCATATATTCAACGCCTTAGCTTTTAAACATTATTTTATCTCTGCTTTAACATAAATATCTATATTTCAAAATTTTAAAACGAATTTCGTTTTAATGGTTCAAGACAATATTAATTAGTTTATTAGTAAATTATTTTTTATTTTAGTTTTCCTTTCAAATTAAAATTGTGTATACAACTTTTAAGTCACCATTCTCCATACTCTACTTCTAAGTTTATTCACCATTTTTGTCTCTTCTCCGTTACAGAGACAATTTTTTTCTTATTTCTGTCTTTATGGATTTTTACATAAATTCCATAAATATAAAATAAATATTTTATTTTAAATCAAACTAATAATAAATAATTTAAAAATTAACAAATGAATATTAATAAATCTATTTTTTTTCTTAATACTTAACCCATATCCATTATGGTTATGGCCATCAAAACTTTTAACTTAAAAAAATTAAAATAATCATTTTGATCTTTTTCTCTTTTTATATATATAGTTCTAAACTGGGTCTGAGGGTTGAGGTTGTCCCACCTTCAGGCACAGTCCAACACTGCTCCACGTTGGGGAGGGTCCAACACAAAGGCCTAATCCGCCATCATCGTGGGAGGAAACGTTCTCACACATCCTCCCACGTTCTTCCCATGCGGGAACACGTCATCAACCAACTACCCACGTCCGAGAGAATATGTCCTCCACTCCCCGAAGTTCGTGGGACAATTGACCCAAAACGAAGATCACATGCGAGTCTTCCCTACTGCCACGTAGGATCCTGACAGTCATCTATTATGGATCTTGCAATTCAGTTCAAACAGATGAGTGTTGGCGCAGCGCTAAGGGCACATCATAAATACTCTCCTTTACAGGAGGGTCAGATATTCTGATTCATACTCACTTTCTATATTTGCTTTCTCTTTCACTCTCTTTCTCACTTTGGCATCAAAGTGTCTTGCAGGTACACTTCCATCCTCTTCTTCATCACCGTTAAATTCGAAACTCACGACGTGTTGCTGGCCGCTGATCATCTCTCAGATCCTATATATATATTAAGCGGAATAAAAACTCTTCGGGATGGAGGATATATTCTTTGTCCCTAAAGTGCCTTCGGGGGAACTTTGTTCTCCATTAACGTCTTTGCTACAAAAAAAACTCTTATCTTTGGGACTCTGAAGTTAGAAATTTTTGTAGGAATTCCCCCTAGCAGTGCAGATCGACATCTCTAGATAGACATTGCAACAATACTCGTGCTTGCGGGTATCCCGCCCAAACCCACCTTGACTTTGACTGCGAAAATCATTTTTATTATATTTGAATTTGAGTTATGTTTTTCTCAATTCGTAAATATTGATATGAGACGAGTAATGAAGACACTAGTATCCACTCTCAACTTGTTTTTTTGATAATTAAAAATATTTAATTTTAATAAATTAGAATATTGATTATTTCGTTAATACATTGATATTTAGTTTCTATTTTATTACTTAAAATATGTGATGACATTCATTGTATAAATTATTTTTACACCGTCAATTAATAACAATCATATATTCCGTCATATCATTTATATTTTAAAATTATTTTAAAGACATGGCCGATTATAATTTTATACGGTCAGTTCATATCCGTTATTTGAAATCTATTTAAAAAATTTTAAATTATTAGTTTAGTATTTATAATATTTATTAGGGTGGAGTCTAAGGTGAATTAAATTCCTCACCAGTGAAACCTAAAACATATATTTGATCGATGATTTAGAGCTATTAGAATTAAAAATGAAACATTTATGCAGTCCCACACATAATTGTCCCTAGAACTCAATATTTTTTTTCTCCTTTTATCATTTACATGTAACATTATAACCACCTCCAACTTAGAAACAAAATCCAGCAAATAGAAACACCCATAAATCGGATGAATGAATATTGAATGTGACAAAATTATAACAAAAATTGTTGAGATGTGTAATTGTTACTATTTTTAATTCTAATAAATCTTTAAACTGTTTATTAAATTTAACGTAATTATTTTTAGATTCTATGAGGGAGGGACTTACAAATTCCTCATACAAGTTGATCGCAATTTTTTTCTCAGTAAAACAGAAAATTATATTAAAATGTTAATCAATTTTTTTTCTTATAATAGCTCAATTGCAATTTTCATGTCGAAGCAAAACTACTGTAACATGGTAATTAAAGTGCTCATTTTGTTATTGTATTTGTACGTAATGTTTCCATTTACGAAGAGAAGAAAAGAAAAGGGTAGTCGAACTTGATTTTTTTTCCATTATAGTTCATGACAATCAACAAGAATTCCACCATCTTCCATAAATAAAGTTGCACAACCACCATTCATTGAGTCAGAATTATATATATTTCTATTTGTTCCATGAGTTATTAGATTTTAATTATGCATAAAAAATTGTGTGTGAGGCTGCGTAAATATTTCATTTTAAATTTTAATAACTCTCTACCATTGATAAATTCTATCTGTATATCTTTTAGGTTTCATTTGTGAGAGACTTTATTAAACCATGTAGCAAAAAAATGATTTGAGTATATTATAAATTATTTTTCCAAAATGAATCCAAACATTATTAGGTGTTTTCTGATAAGATAAAGCCGGAAAAAATTTAAAATAGACTTCCAAAGGTTTCTTAAGACATGCTAAGTTGCTAGCTATTCATAAAGTTCAAGGCTCAACAGTTTAATATAAGTGGTATTTATACAAATAATTGGATTGTGCAACAATTAAGAATAAATCTAAAACTTAGTACTTATACATTATAGAAGAAATCGATTCCATGGAGTGTCAATGAGGTGAAATAAAATAATAAATCACAGTTTACATGCTACAAATAAATGATGATACAAATGAACAAAGGTGAATCCATACACCCCAAAATACAATGATACAGTGAGAATGATCTTTCCGGTCCCAATATTCTAGCACCCAGAAACACATGCTGAAACATGATTATGTGATCTTCAAGTAAAACCCTAGTCGTGCTTCCCCTTTCCGGTGAGCACCCAAAGAACAAATAATTAATTTAATCCTCAATCTGAATGGAATAATACTTCATGAAGTACATAAGTTGACTGGAGGCCAACACAACGAACAATGAATGCCAAGGATAAGTTAGCAGGTCAAGCGAATAATATCAAATTCAAAATGTAGTGCTACTCTCACTTGCAGAAAGAGAGGGGTCTTCAGACTTAACAACAGTTGTTCCTTTGCTGCTAATATCAAGTCCTTGAAAACGACCAATCTGGTCGCTTTGCAATAATTCTGAAAATGAATGAGAATTTGCTTGTTGCAGTTGATGAGTTGCCATGCTAGATGGGGAGTGACCAAATAGTGGCAACTGGATGTTACGGTGACCAGGATGACCTGATTGTGGTGAAATAGGAAGGTAATTTGATTCTGTAAATGGCATCTGTTGCATACCAAGATTGAAAGATTCAGTGTGGCTCCTTATATCTCCGGTAGCAACCTTCAGTCTCTCAACTTCTTTCTTCAATGCATCATTGAGAGCTATAGAAAAACACAAACAGATTCAAGTTTAATTGATCGACTTTAATAACACACTTCAAAAGTTTGAGGCAGAAAAAATTGCAAAGCAGTGAAAATTTTGAACATATTGTAAGAATGTGATAAATTTTACCATCACGGAGATGTGCTTGTTGCTCCATGGCTTGCAGACGGATCTTAAGCTCTGTATTTTCATTACTCAGACCTGTTGTGTCTCTCTATAAAGAAATAAAAAATCAAGAAGTCATTGAGTTATTTAGCAATAAATTAAGTATAAGTAAAAACTGGAAACAACCAAAGTGAAGCATTCACAAACAAGGCAACATTATGTTATAATTGGAAACAACCATAGAATATTTTATATATGAGGAATTTCTCAGAGAAATACTATAATTGCAACAAGGATATATCTATGGTTTAAAGAAAGTGATGAACAGTGCAGTTGACATTATTACACTAAGCTACACTGAGAAATCCAATAAGCAAAACAGAGTTACTATACAAAATGGAACTTCTAAAGTGCCGAAGTTTTAGATAAATGTCAATACAAACCTGGTATAATGTTAGTTGGGCAGAAAGAGTTGTAGCTTCAGTCTGTAGGGTCTGAACTTTGCGCTCTAGTTCATGTATATAGCGGGCCTTTCTCTCTTTTGAACGAGCAGCAGATTGTCGATTCGCAAGTATTCTATTCATAACAACAGAAAAGTGAGAATAATGAATAAAACAAATCCACAACAAATAGTAAAATTGAAAATTAGATTAAACTAAAGAGCAGTATCGCTTGCATAAACCCTCTCTCTCATTTCCCACCCTAATATTTTAAATCTAAGAAACTCAGACATATAGTACAATACATATGATACGTCACAGCTACTAGAAATATATAAAAAAATGCAAACCAAGATATGTTAACAAAACTGTATATGTGTTTGCGTGGTAAGTATCAGACTTGTATCAATATCGTTTGTGTCGGAGTCAACTAGTTTTCCATTTTTTGAAGTATTTGGCCTTCATAGTTATATGTCCATAGCTCAAAATTCAAAAGATTTGCACTAACCAAAATATTCTGAATGGCCTCTAACTATAATCATAAGGTACAAGTCATCAATTGACATGTCCATTACAATTACACATCACCTCAGCACTCACAAGACAGGTGCACAGTTTTGACAACACTTTCGTTACTGCTAAAACTTACAAAGTAGCTTGTGCCACAATCTAGAATCACAAAAAGGGTCAACTTTCACACTATCACAAAATCATCCAGTTAAATAACCGCGATGAACACAAAAACAAACTAAATCTAAGCAAAAATCATCAAAACCGCACAACTGAAAAATTGAATCCAAGCACACATACAAACCTCAATTTCATTTTACTTTTTAATTCATAAACTAATAAAAAAAATTCAATTTGGAACTTCAAAATCAACTAATCAAAACTCAAAAACAGAGAAAAAAAACTCATAGTTGAAGAATTCAGTAGTTTACACAATTGAAGTAAAAATAATTATGCATTTCGCGATCAAAATTTCGAACCTTTTTGCACGCTTCGGATCAATAGACCAAAGCTCAGCTAACTTATCAGGAGGCATAGCCTTCTTCCCATCCATAATCTCCCCAAACGACGAAGAACCATCCACTGAACTACTATGCCTATGCCTCGACCTCCCTTGGTTCTTCTCCGCCTCATCATTCCTTCCCGGATCTGCTCCAGCGTCTCCCAAATCGTTTGAACCTCCGAGCTTATCCATGTCAATGTACGTCGAGAACAGGTCATCCTCGGATCCGATCTCATCTAGGCTCGCCGTCGACGATCCGCCGGTAAACGGATCGGACGGAGACAAGTCCATCATGTCGTCAGGCAACCGGAAACTGACCTCTGAGTGAGCTCTCCGGTGGAGGGACCCACCGTTTCCGCCGGAGCGCGGGAGCATGGAGGCCTTGCAGGCGGCGGTTGTTGCCGCCGTGGAAGGAGGTGGCGGTGGTGGAAATTTGGACGCGGTGTTTGCATTGTGAGGATTGGGAATGGAACCAGAATTAGGGTTTGAAGATGGATGTTGCATTTGTTAATGCAACTCTATTTTTCTTCCTTTCTTTTCTCTGGTTCTAAGTTCTTAGAACTCTGAATATTATTGAACAAAACTAAAGTTCTAGATATTTAATAAAAAAATCAATAATTGTCAAAAATAAAAATTATAATAATTTGAAAATACGAAATTGTATTGAATCGAGTCAAGTTGTATTGAATTCTTTAAAGTGATATGTGACTTAAAAAAATTGTATGTATTGACACAATAAAAAAAAATTAAATAGAGACCATCAATCATATTTTATTGTTTAAACATATTATAATATTAAGTTGTAAAATATGGTTGTTATTTATTATTATTTTTGAATTAGAAAAGTGTAATTATTAAATTAAAAAAGAAATTTTATATAGTGATACACATTTTAAATGATTTAATTAGTATTTAGTGTATAGTGTTAAAAATTTAGTCATGCATCTTATTAGATCTTGGTGAGGAAACTATGGAAAGTGAGAGCTATCATGAAGAATCATAAGAGACATTAACACTACATGTTTATACAAACTTAAGATAACAGGTGTATATGTTTTTTTATCTTATAAAAGGATTATTATATCCATGTGTATGTGTTTTTTTTTATCTTATATATTTTTATCTCATAAAAGGATTATTATATCCAACTCCATCCGGTTAAACCAACATCTGATACTATTTATTGGGAGGTTAGAAAAGTTGAGAGCAACAATGAATCGATGTTTCATAACCATGAGAGAGGAAGATTGTAACACCCTCTTCTACACTCCCAAATAATCAAATAAATCATTTAAGCACATATTAAAATTTCATCAGAGTAAAATTAAAACATGGTATAAAAGAGACATGCAACACCTGCTCTATAAAAGACATGCAACAATGGGGTAGCTTCAACAGAGGAATTTAGTCCTTACACCCACATCTCAATATTTAGAATTAAAAGCGGAAAATCTAAACATTGAATCATTTTAAACATGTAATCATATAAATACATATCATCTAGTTTGATTCACCACATCATTCATGTTTACATAAACATTTGTCAGCAGATACATATACAAAATGTATCCCAAAAGAATACTATACAATCCTAACTATCCGGTGCTACATATCAGAGCTTAACCGACCAAAAGAATGAAGCTATACTTCACAAAAGACCTCCAGCAGACCTAATCTATAATGCCTCATAGAGCATTATAAAACAGCAGAAGAGTGAGAAATATTATCATAATAATCAATGCATATAATTATACATATATACAAGCATAAAATACACATATTTCGCATTTCTTACCACAATTCATTATCATTATCATATACATCACAATATATGTATAAACGAATATGGATAATCACCAAACATGTTTCATCATGCACACATCCATAATCCTCAATTCAACAATTCATACACAAACATACTTTCATATAACAAAGATATCTATGCCATATGACTCAATACAACTCAATGCAACTCATGCCATGTGGTACCAACACTTGTTATCATTTTTTGGTTTTTACATTTAAACCGAGTCCGTTCTCTAGACCGATAACAACAAAAGCTCATTCCCTAAGCTTTCAAACCCCGCTCTAGGTTTGGGACAAGTCACTAGCCTCCACGAGACTAGCAAGCATTGCCTCTTGACACAAATGATGCGTATGCAATCAACAATCACATGCACTTAAGACCGTTCTCGCATCTTAATCCCATGCATACTCAATAATTCATCACACAAGAATTATAACATGATTGCACACTCACACATCACATCAAAGTATTCATACTTTCAACATCATCACATTTATCAAGCAATGCACACATATTCACAATATGTTCTCATGCATTATTCACAATATTGCGTACAATCAATATGCATTCACATCATCGTGCCAAACGACAATAAACTTCATCACAAATCATCATGCATTTTTAATCAATTTAAACAATGCATTATATATGCCAAAAGGTCACATTTCACAATCGATTCCACAATCTAAGATTCACGTCATACGGCTACCCACAACATAACATATTGCAACAGTACACAAACTATTCAGTTCCGATAAGGATGGAACACGATTGAACCAAACAATCAACATTGGATGGAAAACAGAGAAATAAGAATATTGTCACACTCGCTGGCTTGCTCGCCTAGCGAGTTCCTAGCGTACACTCGTTACCCGTTCGCCTAGCGAACAAGCTCGCGAAGGCAAACAGAAGCTATTGTAAGGCTTCGCTACCTACTCGCTGGGGCTTCGCCTAGCGAACCCCTCGCCACCTCGCTCGCTACCAGCAAAGAGAGTCAATTACATTTTGTCCAAGTCTATGACCATTCGCTACTAGCTCGCTACAGCGAACACTCGCGACCTGCTCGCCTAGCGAAGGTGCTAGCGAACGTCTGCGATGTTCAAAACCCGAACTGTCCAAAATCATTAAATCGTCACAAAATCAACCGATTCAATTCTAACGAATTCCAGTAGTCTTAACCTAACATTTCTCGACTAATCTACAACATTTATTCTAGATTTTAACCGTTCAAACATCGACTCTACCGATTAAACTCGTTTTTGCCCTAGAATGGAAAATGGAGAAAAACATCCAAACAATCCATACATAATCATACACATTGACAAGATAATGATATTTTACACCCTTAGCTTGATTAAATCGAAGTTAGAAGTTGTTCTTGAGCTTTCCAAGCTTTTTCCCCTTTTCCTTCTCTTTTCTCCTCTTTCTCTTTCTTTCTCTTCTCTTTCTCTTATGTTTCTATTATTTCTTTTTCCTCCCACTTTTCCTTATATGCCTTTCTATTCTATTTCCTTCCATCATATTTCTCCTCTCAAATATCTACCAATAATTCCAATAATTAAAATAATCCAAATAAATCAATTAATTAATATAGATAATTAATTATTGAAAATTGGACTGTTACAAAGATGACACATCTTCATCGAAAATCTCAGTGCAAAATAAAGAAAAATTGAATGAAGGGCTTTAATTTTTTGTTAAAGATCCAAGAGAAGATCATTGTACAACCTTCGAAAAATCAAAAAACAAAGATCAAAATACTTTTGTTTTATATTCACCAATGTTTCAATACAAAGGTATTTAACGAAATCTCAAAAATGACATATTTAAAATAAGCTTAGGATATGATTAAGAAGTATTGTGGTGGTGATGGAAAAGTTAAGAATGTTTGAATCTAATCAGTGAGAAGGCAATAAGAAATGTTGTATATGAGAGAAAATGAACTAGACTTTGATATCACTTGTTGGGAAGACCGAGAAATGCATGAGTTACAACGGATAAGACCATAAGAGACCTTTACACCATATATTTACCTTTTCTCTTATAAATCCAACATTTCCTCCCTTTATAGTCGATGTAAGACTCAATCACTTACACTTGAATTTTAACGTATCTCACTAAAGTGATTAGTCCACAACGAGTGGCCAATTTTATATCAATATCATTAGTGGGGTACATGTATAAAGTGTTGAAATCTATTTAATGAATAGATTAAAATTAATAATTGGTAAGGTGATTGTAGAGTCTCAATGGACTTTTGTAAAGGGACAACAAAATCTGGATGACATTCTTGTGGTAAATGATGTGGTTGATGACGCTAAAAAAATGGATTGATCATGTTTAAAGTAGGTTTCAAAAAGGCGCATGATTCAATTTAATGGCAGTATTTGGACATTATTATGTCTAAAATGGGGTTCTCAATTAAATGAAAGAGCATAAAATACATCAGCTCTGTAACAACTTTAATTTTAGTCAATTATAGTCCTATAAATGAGTTTGTTTTGGGAATAAGTTAACGTCAATAAGGCATTTATCTCCATGTTTGTTCTTGATAGAAGTTAGAGGATTATGTGTTTTGTTAAAGGAAACTATTGATGCTGGTTTGTATAAGGGGTACATTATAGGCAAAAAGTTGGGTTCTCAAGTTTGAGTTTTGCATTTACAATTCGCAAATGATGTTTTAATAGTCTATGGGAAAAATTGAGAGAACATAAGAATTATTAGGAAAAATTTGGTCTTTTTTAAACACACTTTGAGATTAAAGTTTTATTTATACAAAAGCTTGTTGGTTGGAGTTAATGTGGCCGAGTTTTGGTTGGAGGATGAAGTGTTTGCAATTAATTCTAGAGTGAGTTGGATCTCCTTATCTAATTAGGTCTTCCTATAAAATCTAATCCTTTCCAACTTCATTTTTGGTATACTAAGGCGGACTGAATCAAGTTGAAGATTTCGGGATGGAAGAGTAGAAATCTATCAATGAAAGGTCATCTTGTGTTACTTAATTGTGTTACTTAAACTTATATTGTCTTCGTTACCATTTTTCCTTCTTCAAGGCTCAGACAAGCATTATGTTCTTCAATTGAATCCTTATTTAAATCTTTTCTTTAGTGAGAAAGTGAGGATGCTAGAAAAATGAACTAGATTAAAAGGTATAAAAATTTACTTTGATTGTAATAATGGGAGTATGAGGGTCTGAAGGGTGAGAGATTTTTTGTTGTTAGAGAAATAGTGGTGGAGATTGCTATTGGATAAAAAAGGTTTATGGTACAAAGTCCTAAGTGCCAAATATGAGGAGAAGGATAATAGAACTTTTGGTCAAGGGAGTATGGCATCAGTGTGATGTAAAGATTTGATTAATATTCCAGTGGTTGGTTATAAGATAATGCTAAGAAATCGGTGGGTAATGAAGAAAATAAGTTATTTTAAAAGGATAATTGATTACCATATGGACCTATATATGATAAGTGTAGTAGCGATAACTAAAAATTCTCCCCAAGTAGGATTTAAACCTACGACCAGTCAGTTAACAGCCGACCGCTCTACCACTGAGCTACTGAGGAACAACGGACTTAAGTTAAGGAAGCTGACTCTCGTTCTTTGGACACCAACCTATGACCAAACAAAAAAAGGTTCGTCACTCTTTTTCACATACACCGGGAGAAAAGGTTACGATAGAAAGCCCCCCTCGACCGGAGAG